TCCAGGTGAGGTCCTCACTGATGTGGACGCCCAGGCATTTGAAGCTGGTCGCCCTCTCTACATCGAGCCGTGATGTGCTGCAGGCCTTGCCACATCCGTCCAGAGTCAGCAGTAGAATAGAAGCCATTCAGCTTCTCTCTGTACTGCCTCTTGGCCGCTGTGATGGCTTTCCTCAGTCTGTACTTCGCAGCTTTGTACTCTGTCTCATTGCCTGATCTGAATGCATGAGACCAGGCACGCAGCATGTGGCATGCTTGACTGTTTTTTCAGGGCTTCTGGTTGGGGAGCAAGCATAATCCTCTATGCTGACAGAAATGTCCTCCGAGGTGGCTGCAGCTTCAAACACATCCCAGTCTGTCTGGGTGAAACAGTCCTGCAGGGTGCTCTCAGTCTCCATGTTCCAAAGCTTCACTTGTTTAGTGACAGGGTTTGTTTGTTTCAGTCTTTGTCTGTAAGCTGGATACAGGAACAAAGAAATGTGGTCTGAGAGTCCAAGGTGGGGGCGAGGTGCGGCCCTGTATGCACCATGTATGTGACTATAAACATGGTCTATTGTATTCTGATCATGGGTGGGAATGTCCACATGTTGGTAGTATTTGGGGAGTACAGTCCGTAGATTGCACTGGTTTTAGCAATGTCTTTTTTAAATTGAAATTTAAACAACAGAGTGTTTACTAATTATTTAACAGCAGAATAGGAACATACAGTAAAAAGATGTTTTATTTTACTCCCAAGGAGCATAGAAAAAGTGTTGCTGAATTTTGTCCCACAGACACGTTTTTGACCTCTTAAAATGCAATAAAAACTCACTGCTGAGTAACATTACTCACTGTTCCCCTCCCACTGGCGGGCTGGAGAGATGAAATTTCACAGAAGTCTTACTTAATTTTCATTGACAAGAAAAGGTGGTGTCCACTTCCTGAAGTTCATTTTTGCTAGTGAGTACTGTAACTTCAAAGTATCACTGAACTGTCCATAACAAATGCTTGTTGTGTGTCATATTAAGCACATTTCAAAGGTTAAACTTGTTTTAACTGAATGTCTGGTGCCATAGAATAATATGCACCTGAACTCCTTGTTAGGAAACGTGAAGGCCATCAGATTTGAGTCCTAGAAGCAGCTGAATATTTGACTGAAGTTCAATGTGTAGTTTGCATTTCTTTTTGTGCCTACAGGGAGAAGATTATACTGCAGAGTATATCCTGATATCATTGAGAAGCAAATCAACAATCTGGACCACAGAAGGGAGGTACTGTAATAGGTCTTCTCATTGTATCAAATGTGGGATTTATGTGGCTTTTATTATCCCACAGAATCATGCAAAGAGCAGGAAAAATCATTTTGTAATAAAGTGGTGCTTTGTTGCACTTGTTACAGCATACAATGTGTAATGTGTAAAAAGCTTTGAAAACCACACTGATTGTATTTTTATTAAAGATGGAATTCCAACAGGCTACAATTCAGAGGGAAATACTGTGTTTTTTACTCATCTCCATTTATTTGCTTTAATAATAATAGTAATAATAATAACAATTATAATAATAACAGTGGGGGGCAGCACGGTGGCACAGTGGTTAGCGCCGTTGCCTCACAGCGAGAAGGTTCCAGGTTCGGGCCCCACCTGGGACCTTTCTGTGTGGAGTTTGCATGTTCTCCCCGTGCTTGCGTGGGTTCTCTCCAGGTACTCCGGCTTCCTCCCACTGTCCAAAGACATGCAGCTTAGGTTGATTGGTGTCTCTAAATTGCCCATAGGAGTGCGTGCGTGTATGTGTGGTTGTTCGTCTATGTGTTAGCCCTGCGATGGATTGGCGACCTGTCCAGGGTGTACCCCGCCTTCGCCCGATTGCCGGCCGGGATTGGCTCCGGCCCCACCCGTGACCCCGTTCAGGGACCAAGCGGTAGAAAATGAATGAATGAATGAATAATAACAGTTATAATTATTATTATTATCAACACCAAATGAATAATGAATTAGGTTAATGTTAAGACTGTAACAGTGTGGCTTTACTATTTTCAGAAAAAGGTCTGAGTACTCCTTCCACCACTGTCCTTTTACTGTTAAAACTGTCATAAAGACACACACTAGGTAACATAAGGCTATGACCTCACTAAAGATAGATACTGTGTACACACCTAAATTTGCAACAAAACTTTGAGGGAATATTTCTCTCCATCAATAGTTTCACAACACAATGAGTGTATATATCTGTCACTTTCACACTAGTTACTAGTGTGAATCATGTGACCTCCCACTTCTGCATTTTGTTATAATGATAGTTTTTTTATGTTATAACATATTCTGCTAAGGGTAAGTGTTTAGACAAGTAGTGGTTAGGGTTAAGGTTAGGGTAAATCACCAGGAAATGGATGTAAATCAATGAAAGGTCCCCTGAAGTAATGGTAATACAACATGTGTGTGTGTGGTTGATGACTTGGTTTAAGATTAAGGTGAAGTTAAGGTTAAGGTAAAGGTTAGGGTTAGGCAAGTAGTGGTTATGGTTATGGTTAGGGTTAGGTGAATTCTCCATGAATTGTCCTCTGAAGTTAACTAAAACACCCAAACTAAACACAATATGTGTGTGTTTGTGTGTGTGTGCCAAATGATGTGGTGTACGTCTCTGATGAGAGTCTGCTCCAGGAGTAAGTTAGATCGAGTAATTTACATGGGGGCCTAGGACGCCATCAGAAGCATTCCCTGGAATTATGGACAGGCAACTCACACAGACACACACAGGATCAGGAAAGCTCTTTGTTGGATGGAGGAAAATTCTGGACAGGAGCTGTCAGAATGTAACCAAACCACACAGACAAGGGCTTGTCCCTTCACAGCTCTAAGGGAACTCCTGCCCTTAGAGCTGTGTAGATGGCAGATCGACAGACAGGGCGTGGTGTAAAATATATGCTGCACCACTGACCTGAACAAAATCGTGTGCCATTGTATGAACAAATATGATAGTAAAGATACCTTGAAGATATTCTGACACACACAGACCAACCAATGGGAAACAAATCTTTTCTTTAACAGCCAACTTATTTTAGTCTTTGTTCCTCTCTGGTGTTTTCTCTCAGTCCCCTTGTTACTCTCTCTCTGTCTCTCTCTTTCAGTTTGAGGACTAAGTGACATCTGTTTTGAAGTCCTGGACAACTCCAAGGATGCCCTAAATGTACCATTACTCAGTTTCTGAGGGGTGAGTTCCAAAACCTATCAGCCATCATTTCTTTTGGGGAGATAATCTCTCTTCATCCAGCACTCAACTGAAGAGCAGCGGTTAAGGCAGAAGGTCACCCGCCAAGAGTTGAGGTCTGTCAGAGGTTTCTTCTGATAAAGGGAGTTTTTCCTCCCCACTGTCTCCAAGTGCTTGATAAAGGGGTACTTGTATTTTCTTTATGTAAAATGCCTTGATTTTTGTTGTGACATGACGCTATACAAGTAAGGTTGAATGGAATTTAATTTAATTGTTACATGGGTTTATATAGGCTACAGAATGTAGTCTGCATTATGTGTGGTAGCCTAACAACAGTACGGTATGTGAGTTTTCTGCCTGTGTATTTGTCTTCGTTCTGCATTATGTGTGGTAACCTAACAACTGTGCATATACAGTACGGTATGGGAGTTTTCTGCCTGTGTATTTGTCTTCGTGTGCTGTGGGCCTACTCTATGTGTACATGCATGTAGCTTTCTTCAGATTCTTCCCCTCTAAGGCATTCAAGTGTCTCTCCGCCCCCAGTGCTGCAATACGTTCCCGTGCCACTGGTCAGCAATGTCACTGTTCTAGAAGGTATTTTCAGAAATGCCAAAGGAACCACATTCATTTATAATCTGCTCTGTGATTATCACACAAGTGGGATACGGCATGTTTGTGCCACCTTCCCTCAATCACCATTAAGATTTTCACTTTGCACTATGGCTCCACAGCTTTGACATTTGCATTCGGTTCCTGCGGAGGAAGGCAACAAATGTCCTTTCAAACACCCTGGACATCAGCTGAGGACCAGTGTACTCATGTCATGTCTATGGGCAATATATTTTTAATTCCAGTTCTTTAACCGATTGCCCAGTTTAAACTAATCAAATAGCCAATCCATAGCCCAGCTGAGATAAATGTCAGTGCAAATGAATACTTGCTTGAAATCCTTTATTGAAGCACATCTACATGTGTCATATCAGCTTGAATTAAAAATACATAAACATTATGATATGATGATAAATGGTATGAAAAATGTTTCATATTTAAATAATGTGGAATCAGAAACCATGCAAAAAGATAAATAAGAAACAAAACACACAATAACAGATTTTCTGTGATCAGATATTTTTCAACAATAACAAAGCATATAGCAAAAAAAAAATTTTAACTTGGCACCTTTTAAGTAACCCAATAGTCACTAAGCTGAGACTTACTCCCTGGCAAGACAAGAAAGATAGAAAGAAATATGTTAAATTCACAATTCACAATTAATTCAAATAAGAAATACAAGGTATAAAATGGCACTAATGAGGAAGCTAAACAAAAAGCAAAAGAATCAATGAAAACTCAAAAGCTCAAATCAGACACATAGGGCCCTATTTTGAGGATCCACAGCCTGTGACCCAAGTGTGTTGGTGCAAGTGTTCATGTTCATTTCAATAATTTGATGATGACAAAAAACGGTTCAAGTGCCCATGCACTTGCCGTTTTCATCCGGACACACCTGCCGGTGCCAAGTCGACGGACTGATGCTTGGTAAAAAGGCAACGTGATGTGCATGTCATGAAAAATGGTAATTGTGCTGGTAGGAAATTAGGAAACCCAAACAGGCTACCCGTGCCACATGCCATGGGTTTGTTGCAAGATAGAGCCCATAGTGGCCTTAAACTAGGACTGTGGCCAGTATGCGGTATGATGTTATAGCTGCTGCTTGTATTTTGGCATTTTGTTTCCATTATGTCCAGTTATTTTACATTCAAACAGGGGAGATCACATTATCACACAATTTTGGATGTGTTTGTTTTATTTAGCTGAAATCCTAGTCATTAAATTTAGATTACAGGTAATATCTTTTGTGGACAACCATAGTAGCAACTCCCTTTACATCCTTCAGCTTGTCAGAGTCAAAGTCCACCAGGAGCTTCCTGACCCCAGTCCGCCTGGGAAGGAAGGAGAACTTGACAGACACCATCTCGCCTGGTTGGACAGCACCACTGAAAAAGAAAAGACAGAGAGAGAGAGGGATGAATGCTTGAGTTTTTTGTGGTCCTGTCATGAACTGAAGTGTTGGACAAATGGAAATTTTGTCCTGTTGCCACTGCTACATAAAAACCATAGTATTTTCTTTTAGTATCTATGAAATGTGCAGCAAAGTAAGGAATTTTTTCTACTGTTTATGTTGCCTGTCAGTTTTCTATACAGGCCTCATAGTGAAGGTGGCTAACTCAGTACTTACTTAACATGGATCTGAGTGTCATTGAGTAGGCCAGCCCCCTCTACAGTGAATACGCCACCCTTTAGTGGGACCGGTAGAGGATTGGTGAAGGAGATGTAGGCTGTCACTTGTTTCCTGACTACAGCTTTCCCAGGCACCTGGAAAAAGAGGAGGAAGCTTGGTGCTTTACAGGAGTATATACATGTTCAAATTACTGTGTAGGGCATCACAGTTTCATCCAGAGTCTACCACCTAACAGAAGTCATGCTTCTGTTAGGTGGTGCATGCTTTTGTTTTGATTTGGCACTATACAAATACATTTTTGACTTTGAATTTTGAATTCTTATGAAAACAGTAAATATGAAATCAGTGTGTCCCCCACCTTTATGAGGAGGTCAGGCCTGCTCAATGGGATGTTGGCCACAGTCATCAGAGGTTTGTTCTCCCCTGGAGCCACTAAGAACGCCTTGACCCTGATCAGATGGTGCTCAGAGACACAATTGGCATAGTTGTCATAGCGCAGACGCAGCACTTCCTTGTGGGCTGAACACACACAGACGCAATATAAAGCAGTGAAATGGTACATCATGCTACTACAAAATACAAAAGTGTGCACTTGTTTCACAGTATGTATGCACCAGAGGTCGTGGGGGGTTTATCTGAGCTACTAACTTTGGTGAGCTGGCACAGTCACACTGTGTGTCTGCCTGTGGCACTCCCCTTGGTGAAGAGAATTATAAGTTACAGCCATGGCCAACATGGTCAGCTCAGCTGTAGCATTTTTGGCTCCGTCATTTTTCACCTGTGAACAGCTGGATTCAGTACCACTGGAATTCACTGAACAAGGTAAACCAAACAAAACACAAGAAGAAAACACAACCTATAATCTGTGTGCGTGTACAATTTGTATACCCCCACAGCAGTAGATTTAGATTCACTGTGTGAATTAATTTATCCATTTGTTGTTTCATTCAACTATCCATTCATCCATCTACAGTCTGAACACACCATACCTCAATAATCACATCAAAGTCTGTCCCAAATACAGGTTTAGCATGTTTGATGGACAACTGCAGTTGTCCTGATTCTGCCCTCTCATTGGTCAGCTCCCTGGCTTGGCGTCCCGCCTTCTCGTATGCTTCTCTCTCCTCCCGTGATCCTGTGGAGAAGACATTGGCCCATGACAACTAACACTAACCCCGAATCTAAATGTATGACAAGAACACACAGAATTTTGCAGCTTCAGAGAATCCATCACTTACATGATTAATCTGTCCTTTGACATTTTTTCATACCAAGTCTTCTAATCAGAGGATTTATCAGTACAAAGTTTCATAGTATTTGTAAATGCTGCACACTGAATTAAATAAATGTGATTAAAGTCAGTAAGGGTTTGCTATTATGGCAATCTGTGTAGTGAACCTAATCGTGTACAACTTTCCAACTAACCTTCAGGATATTTGTACTGGAGAGTGAGATCTTCTCTGTAGTTGCCATAAACACTTTTGGTGCTGATGTTCAACCCCACATCACTCTGGTCCACTCTGAACTGTATCAGTAATGACAAACATTGTTATCATCACCATGGGCATCATCATTAAATCTATTTAAAATGTCAAGGATCTTTGTAGTTTGAGTAAATATTAATCTCAACTATGAATCCAGTTTCAAACCAATTCATTTAACTCTGCTACAGCCATTGTTATAGATCTAAAATCAAGTAAAACAAAAACATAATCACCTTCTGCCGCTGGCCATCCCGTTTGACCAACCAATAGAGGATGTCAGCGTTCACCTCAGCATAGATAAATCGAGCGTCATACTTTACTCCCAGATTACCCTGCTTGATGGATGTCACTGGACATGGACCACAGCAAAACTCACCTGATGAGCAAAATTCATGTTGTCATGGATTTGCTTCAAGTGTTTCTTGCATCATCAGATTGTTGAAGAACTAATGGAAAACTAGAATTTTTTTTAATGGTGCTAATTCAGTTTAAATATCAGGCTAACACCAACCAGCTTAGGATCTAACATATTTACATTTATATGATACAACAGAAAGCCTAAAGCAGGTGGTCAGAAATCATAAATTTACCATCACTCAGTTCTTGAGGGGTGGGGTCCAAAACCTGCCAGCCATCATTTCCTTTGGGGAGATCATTTCTCCTCATCCAAGACTCAACCCAACAGTGGAAGTTCCTAAAATCACAAGGAGAGGAAATGAGTTCATATCACATTACTTTAAATAACCTAATACTACTACTAAACCATTTTACTCAGTGTGTGTGCTCCTACCATTTACTGTCGCCCCTGTCTGATCTGTGAAGAAGCTCGTATTTCTCATCCAACTCCAACTCTATAAGGAGGTTTCCATCAACATCATGAGCTGAAGAAAAGTTGGTGATGAGGCGTGTAGGAATTCCCAGACAGCGCAGCACTGTGAAGATAACACACCTCAGACTAGGACAAGTTGCCTAACATACCATTTGGGCTCATTTATGCTACAAGGTATCTGTTCTTTGCTTAGGTGAGGATAGAAGTGAGTGAGGATAGATGGGGGCCAAAATACATTTCTGATCTAATTGAAGAACACAACAGGAAACAACAGTAATGTGGTGGGTAGAGCAGTCGTCTCCCAACCGGAAGACTGACGGTTCGAATTTCGGTGCCTGCCAGCTCTAAGCTTCCTTAGGAAGTAGTTGGTTGGTCGAACCCCAGGTCAGAACCAAACAGGGTGAAGCTGCTTTCAGCTATTATGCTGCACACAGATGGAACCAACTTACTGATGACTTTAAATGTGCCCCAACTCAGATCAGTTTCAAGTCTCAGCTGAAAACTCCACTATTTTCTGTTTTCTAAACTTTCTTTACTGTAACTACTAGATAATGGTGTTTCAAACATTTCACTGTCTGTTTGTTTTTATCTTCATTTTGTCTTTTCTCTCATTTTAACAATGTTTTATTTTGTCTTTAACTGATTTTATTCTGGTTTTAATGCTTATTGTTTGCCTAAGTAAAGCACTTTGAATTGCCTCTGTGTGTGAAATGTACTATATAAATAAAGCTGCCTTGTCTTGGATTCAAGAAGACTTTAAAGGTGCACAAAGTCTGAGAGTGGTCATTTTCTGATAAAACTTGAAGCAGCTATTGTAGTGAGCTACATATGTAATGATAACAGCTGGATTACTGTGGCATTCAGATGAACGTGCCTGTCAAGTCAATAGCCACAGCAGCTTAGCCTATGCAGACACAATGTAATTACAGTATGAAGCTGGGTCAGGTGTTTACTCTTTGTTTGGGTGAATCTGTTTAAAAGTATGATATGTCAATTTAAAAGTATCATAGTTCATGGCTGTATAATGATATTGCCTCTCATGGGGTCCAGCAGATTTATAACAGCATGGCCTAATACCCACTGTGGGGCCTAGTTATAGGTCAAAACATTAAAACAGCAATGTGAATACTGGGTTTCCATAGGAATGCTCAGCCAACTCTCAGCACATTTACCTGTGTATAATCAAAAATTTGTAGCAGTTATCAGAAATCCTCAGAAATATCATACTTTGTGATGCTTAAATCATGCAGCAGTGACATCAGTAAAAGCCTCACCTGTGCAGGCGACACCAGCAAACACCCAGCACTGGCCATATTTGACTGCTTTGATCCCATCCCTCTTCCACTTTTGGAGAATCGGCACGCTGCCGGTCCATCGATGTGGGGGAATGCCATCAGAGTATGGCTCTTTCCAGCGGCCATACAGCACACCTCTATCATCATTAGCGTTCACCTACATAGGTGGAGACAATGCATGAAGCTTTCATGGCCACTACCTGACACTATAAAAAAAGCTTTGTTTTATGAGGAGGATCACTTGATAATTAAACAGTAAGAACATGACATTTATAAGATTTGACATTCCTTCAGTTTATGTTCAAAAGTCTGTTCCTACACTGGGTTGATTACTGTTTACACTAGCACAAATGCACATTTCGTCAATTTATTCTAACACAGCTGTTATCATTGCTGCTGGAAACACATGGGGATATTTCCTGGGAAAGAACTTCAAGACCAGGGGTGTCTATAACAGAAAATGCATACGCTTTTATGGACTGCATATTGGTTGGATCATGTTTGTTACCACTGTCACAAAGAAAGCAAATGCAACTGCTTTTCTTTGTACTTTTATCAGTACAGTTTTGGTAGCAAGAAGACAAGATCATCACCATTGCAGTAATCATCCTGCTGACATAGATGGGGTCAGATCTGCACTCTATGTCCATCTTTGAGTTCTTCAGGGCAGCCTTGGAGTTGTCCAGGACTTCAAAACAGATGTCCATCACATAGTCTTCAAACTGAGGGAGACAAAGAGAGAGAGAGAGAGAAAGTAACAAGGGGACTGAGAGAAAACACCAGAGGGGAACAAAGACTAGAATAAGTTGGCTGTTGAAGAAAAGAGGCTTCTCAACCATTTTTAAAATGAAAATTCATATCAGATTTGTTTCCCATTGGTTGGTCTGTGTGTGTCAGAATATCTTCTAGAAATCTTTATTATCATACCATCATTTGTTCATACAATGGCGCGAGATTTTGTTCAGGTCAGTGGTGCGGCATATATTTTACACCACGCCCTGTCTGTCTATCTGCCATCTATCTGTTTGTCTGCCTGGCACACACTGCCTGCCTACTTGTCTTCCTCCTTGTTTCCCTTAGAGCTGTGAAGGGACAAGCCCTTGTCTGTGTGGTTTGGTTACATTCCGACAGCTCCTGTCCATAATTTTCCTCCATCCAACAAAGAGATTTTCTGATCCTGTGTGTGTCTGTGTGAGTTACCTGTCCATAATTCCAGGGAATGCTTCTGATGACATCCCAGACCCCCATGTAAATCACACCATCTTCATTCATAATATACTCCTGGAGCAGACTCTCATCGGGGAGATACACTACATCATCTAGTACACACACACACACACACACACACTCACAATTAAGATATACACAAGACCATATGCACCCTTATGTGCTTGTGCCATAAGAATCACAAATGTTAACATTGAACACAGATTACAATGAATGCAGATCGTCTGTGTCCTACATGTTCTGTACTAGAAAATCTAGATGTCAAGTGTCACATTCATAAAAACAGGAGGAGCTGACAAACAGAAACAAAAACATAAGTTCTGAATCAGCTACTATGAGTTTGGTGACAGGGTCATATCCTTGTCACATGTGCACAAAATAAAAAATATCAGGAGCTGCATGACCAAGTTTAAAACACTTAGTCTGACCTCTTGGAGAGAGCAGAGAGTATGCACTTTGCTTTTACCTTTGCACCATGGATTAAAGAGCAGGTGGAATCCAATTTTGTCAGTTTTCTCTAAAATTCTCCCATCGGGTGACATCAACAACACAACCAGATGGTACTGGCCAATGATAGCGTCTGCTGGACTGTGCAGAGTCAAGAGGATTTCATCCTGCACCTCCTGCTGGTTAAACCACCAGCGGTCTCCGGCCCCACGTTCCTTCAGAACCTTGATTATGACCTCATCTTTCTTTCCTAAGAGAAACATTTATATATTTTATAAATGGGTTGTTGTACCATCAGTTCATCTTTGTTTGCTAGCCTCACTGGTCTGCTGTAGCTATGAATTGGTAGTAAATGTTGTAATTGTTATTAATTATTTGAAGTCCCAGAATATGGTACTTTATTTGGAAGTGAATAATACACTCCAGCCCACAGGACCTGTGAAAGAGGTAATACAGAAGGAGCTAATTAACTGCAGTGTCAAGTTTTACTACATAAGAGAGATTAGTATATTTTTTAAATATATCTTCTTTTTGCTGTCTGGTAGTAGATGAGTACAGAGACAAAACTGAGTAGTGTATAATGAATGGTACACCATGCTTTTGTAAATGATTTCTGTGAATACCAGGTCCAGAGGTACTCTCTCTGCATAGATACACTGTCTTATAGGTTTTGAAAGATTGTTATAATAAAGTTCCATCGGAATGCAAATGTCAGGCTGTATACTCATCATTGTAAACAACAGGCTGTCTTTGCAAAGTTTTTTTTTGTTTTTTTTTTTTACTGACCCTTGCAGAATCTTCCAAGCCAGGCTGTACTCACCAAGGTGCAGGACCACTTCCAGGCAGTGCCCGCGGGGAAGAGACTTTGAGCACTGCAAGAGTATGGAGAAGGGTTGACCCCTGCGCACAATCAAGCGCTCTCGATCAATCTCCTTGGTGCGGTGGTCCAAATTGTTTTCACGACTTCTCAGATCCACATCAGTAATGAAACCTAAAAGGACCAACAGAGACAAAGTTCAACAGTCGGTCAGTTCCTCTTCCGCCTCATCTGCCAGTTCCTGCCCAAATTTTCCTAGATCAGCCCCTGGCTCCATGCAGTAATTTTTTGTAGTCTTATCATCACCATGAGGTTGCCAGGCAACTAGCAGTGAGCCCTAACAAGATATGTCATGTTACTGAGTGAGTTTTAGAGATGCTGGTACGCTGGTTTTGTTATCTTGGAGAACAAAGTTGCCTCCCCATGTTTCCAGTCTTTATGCTATACTAAATCAACCTTTTTCTTGCTTCATAAGTACAGTTTAGACACATGACGCTTTGTTATCTACAGTAACTTTCTACAAGAAAGCCAAACTTTTTGCAAGTTAAAAAAAAAAAAAAATTCAGTTCAATCTTTCAAATGGATCCTGTTTGGCCACCCTGATTCCTAGGCCTAGCTAGGCTTGTATTTGTTGCAGGAATTAGGATGGGTCATATTCACAACCTAGTGTCATACACCAGCACATTTTTCACATACATTGTAATCTCCCATAAAGTTATAAACTACAGCGAGAGGACAGATGAATAGAATCACTTACCATGGTTTCTGGCCATTGTAGATCTTCTTTCTGTCAAAGTTTATTAAGATGTTGTCTAAGCGTCTTCAAGTGTCTGCTTCTTCTTCATGGTGTTTGTCACAGTCCTGTATTTATACAGCACAAGACTGGCCCTCCCACCTCCCCAACACATACTTACTTAAAATTCCCATTCACTCCCTCCACCTCACTTTCCTTTGTAAACTCACTTACCAAAAACTTACAGTCCTTGTGGGTGTATGCATACAGTATGTGTGTTTGAACTGTGTGAGTGATAGTTTAAACTGTTTTTTAATCCCTTTTGAGACACTGCGGTCCTTGTTTTACATGTTGAAGGGTGGCTGTTGCTAGTGCATGTACTGTACTGTACATGTCTGTCTATTTGTGTGTATGTGCATGTGTTGGAATGAGAACAATGAGGGCTGTGACACAACATATCAGCCAGTGGATGTGACCAACATTCAGTCTTATCTTCTCTTATCACACTTACTAGAGTAGATATGCAATGGTATGCTGTGATCATTACACCAGAGCAATGTGAGCAACTAGCAAACTTCTCATACAGTAGGAATCTCACATTACTGCTTAGCTGATTAGAAGACAGGGAGATCATAATTCTCATCTGAGATAAAGCACATTCAACATACAATATATGTGCAGTATATGATTCCTTTCAATATCCAAATCACAGTCGTGGGTGTATAAGAATGTGGGTATGTATGTGTAATATTTCTATGGTGCAGTATTTGTGTAGTATTTTTTGGGGGCCCAAGTGACTGATTAGGATTTTTTAATGTTTTTTTAAATGATTAACGATGTATTTTAGCTGCACAACAGAGGTTTTCATTGAGGATAGAAACACATTAAAGCCTTTGGCTTGTTTTCATTGTGACCTTTAACATATTGTTATACTTCTTCTTTCTACAATTTCTGGTTGTTTTCAGATTAGTTCACTTTCACGTGGCCACTAGCACTGCTGTGGACACAGTCCTTTTACTGTAAGAAAGATTTCACATTTTTCTATGACAAAGATTGTCTAGTGAGCAATATATCCCACCCAGCCGTAAGATGACGTTTGCCAGTTAGTCAGGTGGGAAGGTGAGCTGAGGTTCAACGAGTTAAAGGTTATGTTGAGAACCAAAAGAACAGTTTCAGTGCTTACTGTATGTGTCAAAGGCTGAATTTCTTAATACAGTCCAGATTTTGACACACTTGCCGTAACACCCTGATTATTCAAAAGCAGCAGAAATAGATTTATGATTGATATTTCAGTTAGCCTTTATTCTTAGAAACAGAGTAAAACAGCATTATATAGTAACTGTTTTATACAGTATATAACATACAAATGCCCTTTTGTTGAACCTACCTCACCTCAGTTCTTGTAAGAGCCTCTGCTATCAATGTTTAAACTGGCCTAGTGTCAAGGCTGTTACAGACACACTGTGCAACACTTTTTACATTGACATTATCAATAAAGTGTCTTCACCACTTACAGCCAGTAGTATATCAGTCATTGGGAATCATTAGACATTTTACATTATTTCAGTACTTTATAAGTAATATGGAGGGAATAGTGATGTTTGGTCTACATCTATATAAAATGAGGATTTCAGTATTGACAGAAACGTCACAGTCCTCTAGACCTTTTTTTAAATACCTGCCACTCAATTCCAGCCAGCTTGTTACCCACAGCTGATCATCTAGCCAGGTCATAAGCCTGCCATGTTCTTACTCCTCTACGCTGTGTGTCTTCGCCAGGTAACACCCCTTTCAACACTTTCAACACTTTGACTGTTCTGAGTTTTAATATTTTATTTTATTACCTGCCTCCTTATTTTTTGTGTAGTCTAGTCTGAGCATATTTTGGTTCTTGTGTATTGTTGATTTGAGTCGCCTTTTAGTATTCTTATTGTTCAGTTATCCTTTACCGATCTCTGATCTACTGATTATCCTTTTATTTGTGAAGCTACTGTTACCTGTCGTCGGCTCACCTGTCCATTCTTGTACCTGTGAAGAAAATGAGTTGCATCTACCTGTTGTCTTATCTGTCCACACCTGTAGTAGAAAAAAGAAAGCTGCAAATCCGCTCGTCGGTCCTCCCCAGTTGGAGAGACAGTAAGTATCTCTATACCTGTTGCTTGCCTACTGTCACTTGACCAAACATCTCTTATACTAGAAGTTAAGCTAGGACGACTCTGGTCAGTAGCTGGGTGGGAGACAAATAGAGTTACTCTGCCATTTCCACTGATCTGCTCCTCCACTGTTGTCTGTAGAGAAGAGATGACAGCAAGAACCCCCTACCAGCCGTTCCCATCTGCATCTCCCCCTGGTGACAATATCATTCTGCTGCTTGTGCAATTCATCCATACTGTCTATCAGTAAAGATTGCTATTTGACTAACTTACCTGTCCTGTCTTCTCTGCTCTGGGGTCTAGTCTTTATGTGTGTGTGACCATAATAATGGCAGCTGTATTGTTTGGCTCAGAGCAAGAAACTGGAACAGCCTTGTAGAATAGGGAAAAATTCACAAAGACACGCAGTACAAAAAATAGCACAGACAATAAACATAAGTACCCAGTCCACATATAAACAGGCATTAAATAGCCTAGGATTGTCACTACTGTGTTCAAAGAAATACATTTGGATGTTTTGTTGTAGGTTACACACATTCACAACTCGGTGATACTCCATATTCAGTACATGCTCCTACATGTACATTGACTCCACTGAAGGTACACCTCCACATGGCTTCATTATGGCTGCGTAGTGTAATCACATTCCTAATTGAAACACATTTAGCTGAATTAGATTTATTATATAAAAAGGCGGCAACAGAATTTTTGTGGTCATTTACTGCTGCTGTGAACTGAATGTTGGCTTGTTCACTGACAGACAATATACAATAGGAAATCCATTTTTATACATTTGACACGTGGTTCTGCACATTTTCACTTCCTGTTACATACTGTTGGCTGATTGGACTGTAGCATAGAGGAGAACAGCACTTATTTTACACAGTCAATATGTTCCTTGGTCAGGCTGCATCTGGCTGGCAAACAGTTATGCAGCAATGTTATGCTGAGCTGTGGAATGTTGGAATGTTGTTTCGGGAAAACGAAGTCTTGGCATGACCTCAGCTTCCTGATCACACCAAAGTGTCAACAGAATGACAAACTGGAAAGGAACTATAAGGGCAATGCACTTCATTAGTGTCATTCTCTTTTTATGGGGTGCATGTTCAAATTACAGGTATGTGCCAAAAAATTAGAATATCGAGGGAAAGTCCATTTATTTCAATAATTTGTTTCAAAAAGTGAAACTTGTATGTTATATTAGTTCACTGCACACAAAGTGAAATATTTCAAGCCTTTATTTGTTTCAATTTTGATGATTATGGATTAAAGACAAAAAAAACCACAAAACCAGTATTTCACAAAATTAGAATATCATGACAAAGTTCAACATTGTAGGCTCCCTGTGTCCCAATCTAGTCAGCTAATTAATGCAAAACACCTGCAAAGGTTTCCTCAGCCTTGAAATTGTCTCAGTCTGGCTTAGTAGGCTTCAGAATCATGGGGAAGACTGCTGACTTGACGGTTGTGCAGACGACCATCATTGACACCCTCCATAAGGAGGAAAAGTCTCAAAAGGCAATTGCAAAAGAAGCTGGATGCTCACAGAGCGCAGTATCAAAATATATTAACAGAGTGTTATGAAGAAGGGAAGAATGTGGCCAGAAAAGGTGCAAAAGTGACAGGGATGACCGCAGCCTTGAGAGGATTGTCAAGCAAGGGCGATTCAGAAATCTGGGGGAGCTTCATAAGGAGTGGACTGAGGCTGGTGTCAGTGCATCAAGAACCACCACATACAGACGTCTGCATGACATGGGCTACAGCTGTAGAATCCCATGCGTCAAGCCACTCCTGAACCAAAAACAACGTCAGAAGCGTCTGTGCTGGGCTAAGGAGAAACAGTACTGGTCTATTGCCCAATGGTCCCAAGTCCTGTTTTCAGATGAAAGCATATTCTGCATTTCATTTGGAAATCAAGGTCCCAGAGTCTGGAGGAAGACCGGAGAGGCACAAAAGTCAAGCTGCTTAAAGTCCAGTGTGAAGTTTCCACAGTCAGTGATGGTTCGGGGAGCCATGTCATCTGCTGGTGTGGATCCATTGTCTTTTATCTGACTAGATTGGGACAGAGGGAGCCTACAATGTTGAACTTTGTCAACAACTTTGGGGGTTTTTTTTGTCTTTAAGCCATAATCATCAAAACTGAAACAAATAAAGGCTTGAAATATTTCACTTTGTGTGCAGTGAACTAACATACAAGTTTCACTTTTTGAAACAAATTATTGAAATAAATGGACTTTTCCTCGATATTCTAATTTTTTGGCACATACCTGTATTGGTTCTATTTCACTACATTTAGTGTCAGGTCTGCTCGGCGCCACCTGCCCCTCTCTCTCTCTCCTTGTTCTCCCTCTCTCGCAGGTCTGGCTCCCTGGGTGGGACAGCTGATGCACATAACCTGATGACTGATCCTAGCACCCGGGGTGTGGCGCACAGCTGAAGTGCATTACTGGCTCTCTTACTTACTGGCAGACGTTCCCGGGTTGCTAGTACGTTAAGGAAACTACACTCCACGATTTGGCTACGCGTTAGCTCTTAGCTAGTGTTCAGCGCTAGCATCAATCCAAGCTTCGTCAGCAGCAACCAGTCTTCTCGGAGCTACGCCGTCTCCACTCACCTCATCTGAGTTTCCTGGCTATGCTCTCCTTTTCTCTCCAAGCCAGCCTACACGCGTTCCCCACACTCAACTCAACTACGCCGCAGCAATCACCTCGCTTCAATCTGCTTGTCTCCACAGAGTGTGGGTGTTATGTGCCGTTCGCACCTGTTAGTGAGCGAACGAGGAAAGAGGCGGACCCAGGTAGCCGACTTCGATGCAGGCACTGATTTATTATATAGGCAGCATAATCCAGAAATCATCTAAATCCCACCATAATCCATAAAATCCAGTATTCCACAAAATTAGAATATTTCATGTGACCAATAAAAAAAGGATCTTAAACACATGT